TCGAAATGGGGGGGGGGGGGCAATGCATGCACGTTTCCATGTGGTGCTAGGATAGGGAGGTTGCTCAGTTTAGATGTATTTAACTAGGCGAGGGAAGATGTTCAGCGCTTTGTCACGCAGCTAAGGCTGAGCTTCAGTGGAAGCGAGTGGGCCATTAAAATACCAACCCCCGTCGCTAACCGTCGCCAAGAGTTAAAAGGCAGGACAAAACCATTGACTGATTGATTGCTATCTCGCCTTTTTCATACAGGGGCTCAAGGCAGCGTATATAATGCTCCTTCCCAGCAAAACACTGGCAAGGAAGGGCATCTTGGCACACCACTCAGAATTTGCAAAGGGTGGCCACCCGCAGCCTTGCCCGGTTCCCAAGCAAGGGCATCAAATCCCCTCGCTGCCCGCTCCCAGACCAGCTGCAATGGGTGGCGGGGGGTGGGGGGGCGCATGCTCACTTCGAAAGGCGTGCGCCGTTGCCGCAGCAACCGCGGTCCGGGCAGCGTCTGTTGCTCTCGAGCCGGCTCTTTGCAAAGATCGCTTCGCAGCCACGGAGGGAAGGAGGCAGCGTATCCAAAGGCAAGCGGTTGTCTGTGTTCCAGGATGCTAGAATTACATGGCAAGGGCCTCCCTCTCTTTTTCAGTGCTCTCCTTTCGTGTGAATTTCTTCTTTTGCACAGGGTTAGCCTTGTATACTTGGAAATAAGTCTCGCGGTTTTCGGTGACGCTTCTCCCTGTAAGTGTGCGAATCCGTGAAGGGATCTTGATATAGACAGTCTCAGCGGCCTGTAATGTTCATTTATCTGAGGAATAGGCTTAGAACTATCCTGGTAGGATAGCTTTCTTACAGATGGCTAGAACAGTCAAGACCATGCTGGGAATTTAGAAGAAAAAGTTGCGGGTTTGTGTGCCTATCTCTAAGGTGCCATCTTGCCCGTCAGAGAGTACAAAATTAACCGGTTTATCATACTTTAAATTAAAAGGCAGTCTATCCCACGCTGTTTTTACTCAGTTAAGATAGGCAGAATGATGCCCTGTGACGTCAGGGATCCATCCGTGTATTTTCCTCAGCAACAGAATGGAAGATGTTTACTGGAAAAACAGATTTTGTTTTGAACCCCGTTTCTAGTGGCGATGCTATGTAGACAAGGACTGGGAACTCTTACCTTTGAGCAGAACATAAAACATGTTTACTGACCTGAGTAAAAATTACGTATTTTAAAATTGGAGCATTCTGGGTATCCTGGGTATCTGAAGCAAGGGAAGGCAAATGACACCGTACATATCATGACATCATCATGCAAAGGATGGGAACGGTGTAATATCTCCCATTTTTATTATAACGTTGTGATGTGCATGACATCAGCGTGGCTTGGACCAGACAGCTATGTATACAAGTTCATATTTTAAATTCACTGTTACAGCAATCATATTGTGTTTGACTCTGGCATTTTGATGCTGAGGGCACCGATTTGTGAATAGGCCCCTTTTTCTGGTGACACAGGTTATATCTTTTTAAAGTAAATGTTATCAAATGAACATCTGTAACCATGAGAACACCCACATATATGGGTCTTTAGAAATTAGCAGAAAAGATACTTAAGCGAGCATCAACAGCCACGGTATCCCAAAGGTTCACGTGGTGCCTGTGCCAGTGTTTCCATTTCCTTCTCTTGAGGTGATAATTTAGGGCGGCGTTTCCTAAACTAGGTAACTAAGACATGTGGATGTCAATTTCCAGAATTCCCCAGCCAACATGCTGGTTGGGGAATTCTGGGAGTTGAAATCCACATGTCTTAAAGTTGCCAAGTTTGAGAAACACTGATTTAGGGCCTTCCTGGATTGTGGGCCCTGGACTGGTCTCCAGAGGCCAAGTGTATCTGCACCAGCCCCTCTGCCAGTTCCTTCCAATTCGTGGGAGGATTCCAGAAATACAGACCCAAAATGAGTTGAGAGGCTGCTTGTGAGCACCTACGCATGATGAGAATGCTCTTTTAATGAATGCTATAGAGTCAGTTACTTTTTTCTCTTCTTCCCATCCATGTTAGGGAAGCATGCCAGTACACCTGAACCTGGATCGACAATATTCTGAAGCCTGCAAAGAAGTAAAACAACCTGTGAACCCATTCATAAATCATGTTCTCCATGAAGTGAGCCAGCGTGATGAAGGGTAAGGCAACTTAGTAAAGCTAACTCAATAACTCATTAAATATTCCTTGCATACAAAATGCTTTGTGAAATCTACAATTTGCAGCAGGAAGATCTGGATTCTGCAAGCTGCAGAACACCTACAAAATATGTAGATTTGTCTCTATGTATTCATGTTGTACAGTGAGGAAGGTTAAGAAACTTTGCCCTCTCTCCCCCAACTCAGATTTCTCAGATTTTCCCAAGTACTGCTGGTGAGATTTTTGAGATCTTTATTAAGTACTGCTTCCAAAATTTATTTTCAAAGTCATAATAATAAGAAAATTGTGGGATTTTGAAAACTGAAGCAGACATGTAGAATTATTTGTCCAATAACAAAATGCTGTAGTTCAGTACAGAATTGCCTGTATGCTTCAAAGCACACAATTGCTTGAAATTATAGCGTTGGCCCTTTGAGGCTGTATGCGTTGCTCAGCTGAACAGCACATTTTTCATATGAAAAAAAGGGCCAGGGGCACCTTTAGTTTGAAATCTCTACAGCCCAGCTGGGGATAATGCTGAACAAGTTATCCTTCGGTGGTAGAACACATGGTTTTCCTGCAGAGAATATCCTGGTTCAGTCTCTGCCCTTTCTGTGTAAGGGTGGGTCCGGGGGGGCGGGATCTGCTTGAAACCCAAAGGGCATCTTGCCAAGCAGCTGATAATCCTGGGCTGGTTAAACTAATCCTGTGATTCAATAGGACAGCTTTTCTGCCTTCCAACCAAAGCAATAAAATTACTAAGATAATATGTATGAAATCCTGGGACATGCTCTATAAATGCTAAATAGTTGCTAATATTAAGGACAAGGGGAGATTGCATCATGACATCATTTACCTTGAAGCAAGTCAAGTGAGAATTGTAGATAGTTTCTAAATTCCATCTGCACACGCCTGGATGCATTTCGGATTATGAATATCTTTCGGCTTTTAATTAAAGAGAAAGAGGACCATCTGCCAATCCATGAATAATGTTTAAATCTCCATTTTAATTGGAGTGAAGAAAAATTGAACAACAGCAACAAAAAGAGCTTCTATTTATGTTATCCTAGGTTGACCAAAAGGATAACAATTAAAATAGCTGGGAACAACCGCTTGGTACCTGTGCAGAAGGTGACAGATTCCGATTTTCAAATCCTTGCTTCTGTCTTTATGAACAATGTATTTATTACAGGTATGTTTCCTTACTCTAGACTCTGAAACACAAAATCTGATGCTTTGAAGTGGCTCCTCTAGAACCAGGTGGTATAATTGAAGGGAGGTTTGGACTTCCCCATTATGTCATCCAGTCCACAAGTAGAGAGTAGGAATGGGACCTAGGTTAGATTAGGTATTGGAATGAAGCAAGACTATGTTTCATGAATGAATTTTGCACTTAGAGGAGGCAGATGGTGTAGGGAACATGATGGGTAGTGCTAATGTGCAGGTATTGTTTCAAAAGTGATTACAAATGTAGTCTGTTCATTTCTGCATCCCTTGGTTCTTTCAGGGCTGGACCTGAGATACAATCTCTTAACTGATGCTGGTGCAGTCCACATTGCTGCTTTCCTTCAGGTATCAATCAAGGAGACTAGATATCACTGTTCCTTGAAATTCTTGGACTTGAATTGCATTTGCCCCCCATGTTTTGAGATTACAACTCCCAGTCTTTCCTTGCTGGGTGGAAATCCTAGAATTTACAGGCCCAGCATAGCTGAAGAGAAGGCTGAGCTTGATTATGCTGTGCCCAAAGGAAGCTACAGGGGGCTATAGATGGGATAGGACCAGCCTAATAATACTACTTTTGTGTTCAAGGAGAATCCCAGGAAATGGCCTGCAGGCCTTAGCCGGCTTATGTGAGTCCTCAAGCTGTTTCTATCACTGAATGTTTCTATGCCATTTAGAGGTGTGGCATAGAGCTTGATTTAAATGGAGCAATCAGGGGAGCAGCCTACAGGGAGCTCTTTGCACTGCCCTTGCTTCCCACCGCATGAATTCTACATCTCTTTCTCTGTCCACCTCCTGTTTGGGGAAGAGTTACTCTTAGCCTCAGTCAATCTGGGGTGAACTGATGTTATGAGATTGCAGAAATCTTCCACAAATCTGCACCTGAGGTGGGAGATCGTGTGGATCCATGTATCCATTGGGCCCTAACCCTCAGTCACCTGTTACAAGTGTTGGTCCCCCAGCTGGACTGGAATGTGCATTCATCATAAGGAAGCCAATCATTGGGGGGGGGCGGTCAGAGGGACCCATGGAAGACAACATTAGCAACACACTGGATGTCCTTCTGTTCTAGGACAATCGGACCCTGCTCTACCTCAATCTGATGTTTAATGACATTGGTACCTTTGGAGCAGAATTGATAGCTAAAGCAATGCACGTAAGTGTGGATCAGCCTGGGAGAAAGAACAGAAAGCCATGTTAGCATCCCATTTGGAGCAAAACACATTGGAATGTAAAGTCTTTGTCTCAGTGGATTCAAATTAGGCAATCAGGGAGAAGGGCAGAGTGTATTCAGTCCTGCTACAGCCTCTGTGCATGACCAGCCCTTAGGCAAACTGAGATTGTCATCTCAGATGGCAGATGCTGGTCATGTGGTAGGAGTACTGTTCTTTCTCTGCTTAATTCTTTGCTAGAGGGTAAAAATCCAGCACTGAATCCAAATGAAAAATTATCGGTAAGGTCATAGGCAGGTACGAAGTTAATAAGATGCCTTTAGGACCATGATCTGCCAAGGGGTTTCTGTTTCAGTGTTTTGAGGAAGGCTGCTTCGCATGTGCAAACATGCTTTGTGAAATGCCCCTTTCAAAGACTTTGCACAACCCCACTGCTTATTTTGAAGCAGTGCTTTATGAAATGGGCTCTCCTGTGTGAAGAGAAGAGGACAGCAGATGAATGATAAAACATGGATGCTGTGGCATTATGGTTGCAGCAACCTTTTCCCCCCTTAATGACAATTAGGTGACTTCTAGGAAAAACCCTAAGTTTGCAAATAGATATAGAACAGTGTTTCTCAACCTTGGCAACTTTAAGATGTGTGGATGTCAACTCCCAGAAATCATGCTGGCTGGGGAATTCTGGGATTTGAAGTCCACACATCTTAAGGTTGCCAAGGTGGAGAAATAGCAATATAGAATGTCAGGGATTACACCAGTCTCCCCCCAGCCTGATGTCATCCAGGAGGGTGGGGCTAGAAGGTTTAGAATTCCCATGGGAATTGTGAACATTAATGTTATAGTATATCTGGAGACCAATGGGTTGGAGAAGAGCCATGCTGGCTAGGGATTCTGGAAGGTGCCAGATGGGGAAAGACTGAATTAAACTGTTGCAAATAAATAATTGACTTTTCTCTTCTAGAGAAATGAAACTCTGTGTTACTTAAGAATGACTGGCGACAAGATTGAGAATAAAGGAGGAATGTATTTTGCAGCAATGATTCAGGTGAACAACACAGTACAGAAGTTAGATTTTGGAGACTGTGACCTGGTAAGTAAAGCTAAAGCAGAAGTATTTGAGAGACTTGTCAAAAAGGAAAACATAATTCAACCATGTTTATAGTACACAGCCAAGAAAGATTTGGGATTATGATCTTGAACAGAATGTAAAACTAATTTAAGTGTTGACAGCAGACCTTAACTGGCTTTCTCTGGATTTGTTTTTATTTTCAGGGCACACAGTCCCTGATAGCATTAGCAACTGTTATGAATCAGAATGTATCAATCAAAGCCTTAAATCTCAACCGGCCAATTCTGTACAGTGAAACAGTGAGTATGCTGGGTAGTTTTATTAGCAGTGAGACATGGCCATGAAGACACCCCTGAATTTAAATTGATTCCCCCCAAGGGAAGAATAGATGGTAACAATTATAAATATGGACAAAAATCCTAGGCAATGTCAAGTTTCCTTCCCTTTTCAGTCTACTTTAGCCAAGTTAGGGTAACATACAGTATCTCCCCTCCTCACACTTGGAAGGCAGCAGGCTGGGGAAGACTGCTGTTACCTGCAATATGTTCAGAATGTAATTTAATAATATGGAACTTCAGGAAGAAACCACGGTCCACATAGCTGCCATGCTGAAAGTCAACAGCACCTTGGTTGAATTGCATTTATGTAAACATGAAATGAAGAATTTTGGAATTGAACGTCTGTGTGATGCCTTGTATGAAAATACCTCTCTCCGATATCTTGATCTCAGCTGGTAAGAAAGCCTTGAGCGATATGGATTGCTTTGTTTATTATCAGAATAAAAGTACTGGGGCCCATAATAACTTGTAGTGTAGAATGCTTCTCTGTAGGTTGCCATATATTCCATTCTGTTTTCTTATTTTCTATTTTTTCCTAATTCCTTTCTCCTAGTCAGTTAACACTGGGCTGTATATTGGCAACAGGGCTTCCTTTCTAAAACTATTTGGTAATTCTGAAAATGTCTGCCCCCTAGTTATTCCTCATCCTCCTGTCACAAACCTGCTGATATCTCACCTTTGCATGAAGGTGAAGATCAACAATTGGATTGCTTTTGCATTAAAACCAGGCTTCCCTAACTTAACAGGTTTCAGATATGTTGGGATTTCCATTCTCTGAATCTCCAATATACAGTAGCATCTGGGTGCATAAATTTGGAGAAGTATAATATTTGTGATATGATGGCAAATTCTGTTGAAATGGATGCAATTAAGACTTAGTTTGTAAAGTTCTGTTTTTAAACAGTGTTAATTTTGAACAATGCCAGAAAAAGGAAATCATGCAGATCATATTGGATAATACTTACAGTTATGTTGTGCATTTCAAACTGTACATCCAGATTTAGGTCCAGATTAAAGTTGCAATCTTGTATCCAGTTTCCTAGGAATAAAGCCTACTTATGACAGTGGGACTCACTTTTGAGTAGAAATATGAAATGAAATGTTTGGCAAGATCTAGGAGATCATCTATTCCAACCCCCTTCCTAATGCAAAACTCCACCACTCTAGCAGATGGCTGTCTAGTTTCTGTTTAAACACCTCCAAGTTTCATAGTTGAACAGATCTGACCTTTAAGAGATTCTTCCTAATATTCAACAGAACTCTACCTAGCAATGGAGGCGAATATGTGTAGCTGAGGGTTGAACTGTGGAGTCCTT